TCTAAGTTAACAAGATTCTAGTTAACCAAAACTTGCAACTGTTTAAGTTAAATATATATATATATATATATATATATATATATATATATATATATATATATATATATATATTTTTTTTAATTTAAACACTTATGTTTCTCTTTTCACTATCTGTGCATCTTTATTAAGTCAACTGATGCATAAATAAAGCATTAATAAGAAAAGTAGAAAAATTACTTTTTTCGTATTTGTAATATTGTGTATACACAGTCTGTCAAGTAAGAGCGTGATCGGCTTTACTTACCCCTTTAATCTTTAAGTCATAATAAATTGACCAACCACAGTCGATTATTTTAAAAATAATCAACTGTGGTTGGTCAATTACTTAAGGCTTAGGAATTGAGACAAGGTTGTGGACAAGGGGTTACAATTAATACAACGTATCGCACTAAATCTTTCGTGAGTCGATAGAGGGAACCTCTCTTCTTGATGCACTATTAAGAAAGATTTAATTGTCATTGATGTTTGGTAAAAGAAACACGTTGAACGTCATGAGTGCCAAACCCGTCGCGCTACGAGGCTGTGTTCCTTTGCACGCCCCGAAAATGTCGTAATCAACGGCTGCTAAATACATGAAAAAGTCGAAAGCATTCGTACAGAAGTGGGTGCAGCGATATAATGTGACAAAAAATGTTGATGATTTACCGGAACGTGACTCGATAGGCAAAGTGGATAAAAAAAGCGAAAAACAATTAGTGAATATGTTTTCACGGAATCCTGGCTAAACGCTGCGTCAAAGACAAACAAAATTGAAGCAGAAAGGTTTAGATTTATCGCACGAAACTATTCGAACCTGTCTCCTAGCTCAGAATATGAAATGGCGCAACACAATAAAGAAACCTCTGTTGACTAAAAAACATGTGAAGAAGCGACTCGCTTGTGCGCGCGAAAACATTGATCGAGATTTTAGCAATGTAATTTTTACCGACGAATGCTCTGTATGGACACGTTGTATCTTCACGCGAGCCTGGTCAACCTCTACCAATAGGCTTGTCTAGCGACCCGTTAAACAGAGTAAAGGTCCATCTTTTGGGCTTCTCAGAGCAGGGATTTGGCACTTTGCACCTGTTTAATTACAACTTGAATGCCAAGAAAAAAATAGTGAGAATTTATAAAAAGGCTTTTTTACCGTCTATCAAACGTTAGTTTATCGACGAAAATGGACTGGATTATGCAGGAGGACAACGATCCCAAATATCGCAGCAAACTCTGTACCGAATGGAAGCATTCTGGCATTGTTACACTGGATTGGCCGTCGCAGTCGGCCTAATCCTATTGAAAATGTGCGAGCATACATGAAGTATAAGCTTCGTGGAAAACGCACGTACACTTTGCAGCAATTATCTCGCGAGATTTGTCGGATTTGTAGGTCCTTGTCCCTAGAATACGTCGTCAATTTGGTTGAAACCATGCCTCGGAGATGCCAGGCATTTATCGACGCCGATGGTGACTGGACGCATTATTAACAAAATTGCATCTTTCTTTTCATCGAGTACAATGCATATATGTATGTGGAAATCTTGTTTAATAGTGTTTTTTTATAAATTAACCCTACTATACTCTTACTTGACAGACTGTATATTTCAGCTTTGCTTCAAATTAACATTTATTATTTAAATAATGAAATTAATATATATTTATTAATTAATAACAACGTAATTTTGTTCGATAAGGATAGTAAATTTACGAATTGTCTCCTTGATCTGCGTCTGAAAATATGACACTAAGCCTTACAACTTCCTTAAATTGGCTTTCTTTTCTTTTTCTCCTCCCTTTTTTCTCGTTGTTCCCAACGCTACGAAGCGAATGTCTCTTTCGGGACGCAGCTGCGACAAATAAAATATCGATACTCTCCGCCGATATCATCTCTCATTTTGCGCGGCTGCGTGCGTGAAATCCCAACGGCAAAGCCTCGGCTTCGTTCTTTCTGGGAAACGAGATGGAAAACGGCTCACGACGCCGCAGGCGGTTTTCGCAATTAGCCAGTTCAACGTGTTCCACTACTAGCGAGCTCTTTTACTAGCATCCGCCGTTCGCTTCCGGGAAGTTGTCGAATCAAACGCCATTACCAGACGTCTCTCGTGTTGTTTCAATATTTCCACGGCTTTTCTGGGATAATGCAAATATTGTCCCGGTGAACGGTTGCCCGTTTCCGCGACTGCCCGGAAGATCCCGCGATTTTTCCGCTTTTAATTTATGCTAATTCGCGGCACTTTATAACGCGTACGTTAATTAAGCTATATGACTTTTATACAAAGCAAAAGATCACGAACAGCGTTAGAAAGATTTGTTAAAAAGATGAGATATAACGGGCAATTTATGCCGTTTAATTTATTAAAAGGAAAAAAATGCTTAAAGATCGCACGATACTAATCAATACGAAATCTCCCGGATGATTATCGTTTTCTTAAAATTGAAGTAATCGTTAACTGTTCTCTTATTTTTTCTAATTTACGTGGCTAAAATTCTCTTGAAGGTACGGACGGTAATGCCAGAAAAAATCCTACTATCAATTCCAGATGATAGGAGAAAAATTACGACGTGCTTGTTTTACAATTTTAATTTTGCTGTTACTATGCGAGAAGAATGGTCGGATGCGATGGTCGTGATGAATAAGAGCGGTCGATCGAATATTTATATCGAGTCGCCATCGAGGGTCGCCGCGCCTCGCGGTGCATCACGGGAATTGAGATACGAACGATCGAGAGGAAGAGCGCGGTTTCGCGTGCGAGTGAGCGAGAGAGGGGAAATGACAGTGAGATAGAGAAATAGCGGGACTAGGGAGAGCCGCATTCCCATTCTGCAATGCGTCGTAGACGAGAGGGTGGAAAAAGTTCATGGCTAGCGGGTGGAAACAGCGCGTGTCGACGATGTCGCGAAAATAAAACGCAACTGGCGTCTTCTGACTGAATGAATGCTGCCAAGAATGACGAATAGGAAACGGCACAGACACGGAGAATGCATCCTTTTAGATACGCTCTCGAGATGTTATAAAATATGTGTATGTGTGGATCTGTCGGAAATTTTATTAATTTTAAACGTTCCTTTGTGGAATATAATGGCCTGTAATTTATACAATGAAAAATATTACATATGTCTAATAACGCAAAGACTATTAATACTATATTAATAATACAATTGTTACAACTTTAAAACATACTTAAATTTATATAGTTGAATTCTCAATACTAAAATAGAAATTTTGGTATATTCTTTCATTGTTAAACAATCATTGTTGCAATAGTAGCACTAACTATACTATCACTATTTTGCTACATTAGTAGCAAAGAACACTATACTTGCTAATAGTTGTTTCTCACATATTTTTTACACAAATCCGTTTAAAATCTAAATTTGGCTATCATAATGTCGATAAAAATAGGAAAAAGCGCCATTTGGAGCAAATTTTTGTTGTTGTAACAGCAGAAACATTTTTTTTTCATTTTATTAATGCCATGTAAAAATACGAATCCTAAGCCTTAAAATGCGCTTCGTCTCACTTCCGTAAGATCTTTTCTTTTGGAGAGATAGCTATTTAAAATTAGCTTTTAATAAATGAAAAGGATATTTAATTTATCTTAATATTGCATTGTGGAAAATAAATGCTTTTTGTATTTACGAAATATAATCGTAATAAAATACTAAATAAAAGAGTAATTACTTCAGTAATTTTATATATAGTTAGTTTATAATATAGACTATGTTATTATCCATAATATACACAAACGTGTAATTAACTTAAAAACGTAGTACTCGAATACTAAACTGGAAAATATGACTTATGGTAAATACATGGTTAAATACATTAACACAGCATTTTTCTAATTTTGTGATTGAACGACTATTTTCAATTTTAGTAGTATCAACTGTTTTATTTAGATCTTTTTTTAGGATTATTACGTTTTTTACTTTTTTTTACCTATGAATTATCTAAAAAATAATAAGATAAGATCGATTTATCTCCATTTCTAAATTTAAATGCTCATATTTAGTATGCTATTAATATTTAATGCGACATATCTCCCCTCCTTCCACAAAATCCATTAAAATATGTTATATCTCCTGGACTAATGAAAGATATAAAGCATAGTGTTAAATAAAGAATTTGAGATCTACATATTTATGCGAATTAATATATTTTTACATCATACATTAAGCTAGTCTTTTCAAATTGAGAAATTGTTGCTAGGTATTTAGGAAAGATTTTTTAATTTATAAACTTTAACATCAAACTTTAGGTACTTATCGCTAAAAGGAATTAAAAAAACTGATATTAATTAATAAATATCCACGTTAGAATGATATACTTTGTGATTGTAACCTAATTTTGTCATTGTACTATACTATCTGGCGCGAATTAAGTGCGTGTCCAATATATTAATTTCTTTATATTTTATAATAGTAACTGTCGTATATCTTTTAGGTTTGCTTCAAATGATATGTACTTTATAAATAGGGATAGGAATAGAAAAAAATTTTAATAACTATATACAAAATTTTATATTATTTATAATAAAGATACCGTAAAAATTGTGTTGTACTATATAAAGTAAAATTAAACGAAGATGTTTTCTTGAAAAAGATCGGTTTACGAATTTCCGACTTTACATGTAATACACGAGGAGGATATTATAGTTTCTTGTAGGCTTTTTTCAGTTTTACTATGTTTTTAGTAGTTCAGGAAAATAGACTGTCTATCTTGCTCTAAGAAACATAGTAAATTTCGCTAGAAACGTAGCAAGTTTTAATAGCATTTTAGTTTCTAAAATATATATGGCACATATACGATGAAAGGATAGTGAATTATTGCAGATAAATTCTTTTGTTATTGCATTTTATTCCTAATATATTAATTAAAATTTAATTCCCAAAATCTTGTAATAATTTTTATTATAAAATTCTCTCCGCGTAGATGTAATTTCCTTCTAATCTTAATCTCGCGATTGCGATTTTCGTTGCAGATGTCCTGACAGCGGGCCCCGGGCCACCAGGATGCCGACAGACGACGACTATGGCCGAAGAGATCGTCTCCTGTTGCACCAGCTCCCGATCGCTCAGTACGGGTCCTCGTCATCCCCGCTTCCCGGATCGACCGCGCCGAATTCCAGCGGCGTGGTGGGGCTCCAGATTGGCCCCAGTAATCCTAACGACTGCTTCAAGCAGCAAGTTCATCAGCAGCAGCTGCAGCAGCAGCAACAACAGCAACAATCGTCCGACTTGCGTGCGGTCACGAGTACTACGAGCCAATTGGGCTATCAGTCGGATCAACAGACCCAAAGCAACGAGCATGTCGGGGCCCGAATGGTCGATCGGCACGAGAAGTCTGCGGAGAAGCCCACGATCGACTTCTCGAAGTGCGGAGAAGGTCGTCCATCGAGTTGCGACCGCTTTGGGCATTATCAGGCCCAAAGCGGTGAACATGCGGCGAGCCGGATGGGCGTCGAGCGGCATGAGAAGGCCACGGACAAGTCTTCTATCGATTATGCCAAGTGTGGAGAGTCTCGTCAGTCGAGCTGCGAACGTTACGGACATTATCAGGCCCAGAACGGCGATCAGGCCCACGTGGTGGGTGCTCGAATGGCCGAACGGCACGAAAAGCCACCACCGTCCGATAAGCCATCGATCGACTTCACCAAGTGCGTCGCCGACGGCCGACAGTCGAGCTGCGAGCGTTTCGGGCATTATCAGACTCCGACGTTTGGTCAATCCCCGTTGCAAGGCCACTACAGCGCGTCGCGGTCCGTCGATCGTTTCGCGCGCTTCAACGACCTCAGCGCGCTGCACGGCACGGAACAACGGGGAGTGGTGGTGCCGCCACCGACGAGCGCGGATCGTTACTCGATCTGCAATCCGGAACTGCGTTTCGATACGAGCACGAGTACAAGCGAGCCCGGCGAGTATGCGAACGCGAACGCCCTCACGGGCACCTTCTCCACGGAGACGTTCCCGTCGCCGCCGTCGCCGGCGCCGGCGAACGACCGTTTCGTCCCACCACCGCCGTTGTCGCCCAGTCCGAGCGAGAAGTACGCCTCGAGCCAGAGCCTGGCTGGTTACCCTGTTGCTGATCGCGTTCTGCCCCCCAATTCTCCGGGGCCCAAGTACGGAGCCGGCGGCACCGCTCCAGCATCGCCGATGCCCTCCAAGGAGCGCTTCGCCTCCGCCGAACGGCTGTTGGCCGGTCAGCAGTCAGTCGCAGGCGACGCCAAGGATCAGCAACGCTACGCTGGACCACCTGATCGCTTGCTCTCGGGCTCCTCACCAGTCCTGGGCGGACTCCAGGCTGGACTACAAGCCGGGCTCCAGAGTAGCGGCCTCTACGCCAAAGACACCCGTTATGCCGCCATTTCTGCTGATAGGTTACTATCCTCCTCGCCGATACACGCTCCGGTGCCAGAGAGGTTCGCCGGCAAGTCGGATCGGTACTTGGCCGAGTCGCCTATTCACGACAGGTATCCTCGACAGGATCCGCCAACGGCAACACATCATGAACGATATTCGGCGATGGCGACGGCCACCGAGAGGTGAGTTAGATCCACGTCGACGATACACTGAGAGAAAAATGTATGTTATTTGGAACTATAATGGCATAGTAAAAAGATTATAGTTAGGAATATCATTTTTATAGTAAATGTCACCATAATATTTGTAATATTTACAATATAACCATAGTATAACTGACTCATGTAAAACTTTTACCAAGAATAATTATTTATTATAATTATTTTAAATAAAAATATATAGTAAGGTATCAAATATTGAATGGTAAGAGAAATTAATTATTTTATATAGTCAATACAATTGGAATATTTGGCAAATATAGGTATATGTAACTATGTTCCCAAAGTGTGCTTTACTATACACTTATATTACTATAGAATAATAAAATGGTGACTAAAATCTGTATTCATTTTGCTATAACTTTATGTTTAGATAAACTATAAATATATGTTTGAGGCCAAAACGAGCTATAAAATATAGTGAATTATAGTTATTCCAACTATTTTTTTCTCTTAGTGTACCGCTTTTACTAGATAACGCTATCAGCGATAAAATGTGCCAATTTTATCTTGAGCAATATTTCTGGATATCGCGATAACATATTCAATCTCATTTGCTTGTCGCGCTCGTCACATATAGAGTCATCTCACATAAGAACTGTTTTAAATATAAAATTGCGTCTGAAGTGAAATTTTCTCGTGAAGCACAGGTTTATTTCAGTCTCTGTATATTCTTCGTCTGCACCCACTTAATTCGTTCTTTCCTCTTTCGGGATGTCTCGCAGGTTCCTCTCGAATTCGCCTAATCCTGAGAGCGCGCATCAGCGTTATTCATCGTCGGATCGCTCGTCTCTTCAAACTACGTCCAGCGGCACCGAGCAATCTAGGCGCCTCTATACTGACAGGGGCGTCGAGACGGTTTGTCAGAAGTACACGGATCGGTCCACCGGCTCCCCGGCGTCCGCCGATTTCGGCCGGTACTCTGGCTTCCCGGAGGTCGGCACCAATCAGACGCGATATGTGTCCAGCAATGACCGTTTCAACGATCTCGCGCTGCAGCGATGCGGCCAGTCGCGCTCGTCGACAGACAGGTTCTCCAGCGATCGCTACCTCGCCGGATCGTCACCCGCGCACGATGGCAGGTTGTCTAGCACCGAGACGCCGCGCTACATCGTCTCCTCTACTGAACGTCTACTGGCGCCGACGTCCTCCTCGCCATCCTCCTCTTCGGAGACCGGTAAGCGTGACTCTCGCTTTTCCATAAAAAAACAAAAAATATCTAAAAAGTAATAGTAAAGTGGTCCATATAATACTTATGTTTATCACATATATTTGGTTTATTATATAGAATGATTATACAGAAATAGAAATACGAAAGAAATATAAATAAAATGATAAAAATTTGCTCAAAACAAAATGTTATGTAAAATGTAATTTGGAAATCTGATAATTTATAGTAAATATAATATAATTTATAGTAAATTTGTTATTGTATTAATGTAATAACAAATTTATATTATTGTATAATATAAATTTAATGATTAATTAAATACAATATATTTTATCTCATAAATAAAATTTAAAAAATTTTGAAGAATCGTCATCATCTCGATTGTCTCACGTCGTGATGAATCAGGAAAGTATATCTGGAGACAAATTTATATTATTGTATGATATAAATTTAATGATTAATTAAATAAAATATATTTTATCTTATAAATAAAATTTAAAAAATTTTGAAGAATTGTCATCATCTCGATTGTCTCACGTCGTGATGATCAGGAAAGTATATTTGGAGATATTTATTCCAAATTGATAAGTGTACGTAAATTTGGTAGTAACTTTACTAATCATATTTATAAATGTTGCATCCCTTATGAATAATTTATATGGGATACATATTTATCGTATAGAATAACGAAATAGATATAGAATAGAAATACAAAAAAATTATCAAAATTTACTCCAAACAATGCCATATAAAATAAGATATGAAAGTCTAAGTAACTTTTAGTAAAGAATGATGCTACTCTTTACTAAAATAGACCATGTGTTCCATTTCTGGGCAGTAAAAAATGTACTTAAAATGGGCACCAAATTAAAGACTTTGATGAGCTGATTACAAAGATATAAAAGACAATTTGAGTATTTCTAATGTTTTTGAGTAGGTTAAGGTGTATTTTCCTATGCGCTTCATGTTTTAAAATCAACCGGAAGTTGATGTTCCAATTGGAATTTTCTATTTCCGGTCAGTTTGGAATACGGAATTTATACCATTAAATTCTTCATTTAATTTTATTAAATGTAGTATTTTGAATTTTTAAAATCTGTTAAGTTTTGCTAAAGAAACATCAGTTTGAAAGTAGCCTAAAATTTGGGAACTTTTTAGACCGTAGTATTGGAATGATACACTGGGCGGCTCTAAAACTTATATCTTTGTAATCAGCTCATCAAGGCCTTTAATTTGGTACTATTTTAATTTGGTACTATTTTAAGTACATTTTTCACTGTCCAAAAATGGGGCACATGTTGGCGTTACTCTTTGTTGCTGCATCTATGTAACAAAAAAGACTTACTGCGTCTATGTAATAAAAAAATACTGGTATAATTATTGTATTATCTAGTAAATTTTGAATAAGACTGGCTAGAAAACAATAGGAATTTCAAATTATAAATATAAAAAAAGAAGAAAACCTAATAAATTTGAGTACTTACTCAAGCACTTCTAGACAGTTACTGCTAACCACGACTTCAGATAAATCTTTTCACTCATGCTTTAATTTATTTGATGGTCAGACAAATTCTATTGAAAACTTGGTCGTCTACTGCAGTTATACAGTGTTCCCTTACTTTATCCTTCACTCTAAATTTCCCGTTTCTCAGTATTTTCTTAAGAATCTTGTTATCGTTGATTGGTCTGGTTGCTATTTCGCGTGTAGAAAACTTCTTTTTAGATAAAGCAACAATGACACTCTTTGTTTTTGAACTCAATTCAATTTGGCTCATTTTAAAATATGTATAAAACGAAAAAATTTGCCGAAGAATAATATTTATTCGCGTAAAAATACATAATATATAATAATAACCACGTTAGCTCTCGCGGTTTCTCTCCGCATGGATACTAATTTAAAAAAATACGAATGCTCAACAAAAATATTTTACTTACACTGAATGTTTAAAAAGGATTTCCACGAGTAAATAATTTTTAAGATGATACAATAATTAACGTCAGTACTGTACATTGTATGATATAAGTTTAATTCAATATAATATGTTTACTTCATGTAATTAAAAAAGTTAGAGTTTCCATTCTATACCGATTGTTCCACATCGTGATAGCCATGAAAATCTATCAGGAAAATAATGAATAATTCCGTTTTCTTAAAGAAAAACAATAGAAATCTAGATTGAAAAACTATCCGAAAAGTTTTATAATACTTTCCTTGTGTATGAATAGAGATATTATATTATATTTAAATATAATTCGATATGTATATACGGGTTCTGTTAGTATTTAAATTAAAGTGAGAGGATTAAGGACTTTGAGAGAGCCATTTGCGGTTGTTTAGTGTGAATTAAAATTTGTAATTTGGGAGAATAATAATGTTTTATAATATCTAACAGGCGTGACTGGTTTTTTCTCGACCTATCATACAGGGGTAAATCAGTATTCTTTAAACCGACCTTTTATCTCAATTTGTTGGTTAATATAATTTTTATAAAATAAATACTTCCTCCATACATCCAGAAGACATACATTAACATTAATAGTTTCAACTTTTAATAGTTTTTAGTTTGATTACACTATTCGATCTATATATTGGCTTTTATAGGCTTTTTTTTACTTTGATTTTTTATTCCAATTGTTACTAATATTATTGTACTAATATTATAAGTGTCTATTTTCTATCCTAGTTAATTTACATTTTTTCGATTTAAATGTTGAAAAAAATACTGCTTCAGCTAGAAGTTTAACGGGCACGAACCGGTCACGTGCGTTAGAACTCTCGAACATATTATCCCACATTAATTATTATCCCACATTAATTATTGTCTTAAAGGTCTAAATTCTCTCACTTTGGTTTGAGTAATTTGCTATTAATAGATGATGTTCCAAGTCTCGACGAATTTTCATTGCGCGATTACTTATTTGGCGAGTAATTAATTATGGGTTTCTGCCTCGAAATCACAGGCACAAGATACCATTCGCCCTACACGACCACTACTGGCACCCAATCGTCAGCGTCCAGTGATCGTTTCACGTCAATATCACCGACGCCCGAAGCGTCACCGAGTATCCACCGCGGTAACAGCAGTGGTGGCGGCGGCGGAGGCGGCAGCGGCGGCGGCGGCGGCGGTGGCGGCTATCAAAACACGAAGAGTACCGTCGACAAGTACCTGGTCTCGAAATCAGTTCAGAGCAGCTACGATCGCTACTCGGTCGCCGGCCAAAACGATCATCAGTTCGGCCAAGACAGGTACTTTGCATCCGGAGGTGGTAATGACCGATTTCAGACCTCTACCGGAGCTGACCGTTTTCACACTGCTGCTGATCGTTACTCGCCGGCGCGCAGCGTCGCCGACAAGTACCTGTCTTTGCCGAAGCCCAAGGACAGGTTCACTGGCCGCATAACACCCATCTCCTGCGCCACCGCCGTTGCAACGTCGACCACCGATCGTTCCTACGGCTCTTCCAGCGTGAGCTACGTGCCTCCGACCGCGCATACCCCTGTCGAGCGATACGTACCTCAACCACCCCCGGAAGTACTCTATCCGGACAGGTAAGGACAGACATAATACGAGTAAGATATAAGTCTCTCTTCAACTCGTGCTTTAGATAAACTCCTTGAGGAATTCGAAAATGAAAGTTAACTCTGACGGTAACACGCTCATTTTACGTATTGGACGTATACTACCGTCCAGAAGTTTGGAAGCAGTCATATTTTTGTGCGAAATCAAGCAACCGCTTATAATAAATGTTTATTAATACTGACGACTACTTTAGGTTAGAACACCAACTTTCTGTTCCTATAATTACATTATATTAAATAAAAAAATTCAGTTAAATCAACCAACTGATAACTTTAACGCGCACTGAGCTCAGAAATTGTAACTTGCGTCTATAAATACTTGAATACAACTATTAAGACCTTATTTAATTAGAATACAATGGTTAGATATCGGAATTGAGGGTAAACATCATATTTCTGTGATTTGAACGTAATCAAAACAAAGTAAGTGTTCAACCGCAAGTAAATAATAGCAAGAATTTATTAGACATAGACAAAGAGCTGGTGTTCTGGCCTAAAGTAATCATCAATGTCAATAAACATTCATTATACCTGGTCACTTTCATAATATTTACAAATGATCTTTTATTTTACATAAAAATATGACTGCTTCCAAACTTCTAGACGGTAGTGTATATTATCAGAAAATCGATTTAAAACTTGTTAACATTGGAATGTCCGATGAAATCATTTTGACTCTTCCAAGGTCTTCTTGTTGTCGCTGTTTCTATTTTTCGTGACATACAAAAATATCTCTCGTGACTTTTAACTATTTTTAAAGTAGAACACACTGAAAGGATAACAGAAGAGAATGATAATATTGTGATGAAATATTTTATGATTTATCTTGGACATCCAGAAAAGAGTAATGATTCTCTGATTCTTTATTTAATTGTCGGAATTATAAGGATAATATATAAACTATCATTTGTGAAATTTTAGTGTCTTATATTCCCGATTTAGTTTATATTTTATTCTGTGTTAATGCACTAGTCTTTTTGTATTCATTATAGAGGACAAAAATAAGTAATAGTTATGATATATTATACTATAGAAGATTATAAGAAGATTTGGAAAAATGACAAAAATTATAATTTTTTACGATATATAAAATATATTTTATAATATATGTCTATATTTCGATATAATGAGTTTTAAAATATTAGAATTACAAGGAGTCAAAATAATTCTTTCGAGCATCCAAAGGAAGTTTTCGTTCTTGGATATTCTAATATTAAATCGCTTATTGTAAATTGTAATCATTGTTTTCTTTTTTGTTTCTCATTCATGTGTCATTGTTTTTAACGTGGTTTTTATACATAATTTTAAGGAAGTTTTTAGAAGTAAATTAGAATTAATTTACATCAATACGTCCGGAAGGTATATAACCAGGTTACTGTCACGGTTAAATAAAAAAACATACAAGATAGTCAAAATAACATATAAAACCACAACTCTAGTTATTATATATATTTGCGAGTAAGAAAATTAAATTTATCCCCAGATCTGACAATAATAATAAGTGGTTACCGATTTTAGGGGTTTGAAAAATTTGGTCGGATTTTTATCTACGCGTATTTTTATTTTTTTTACGAAGAACTTGAAACTAGTGAGAGCTACTACAGGATGATAGTTTTAAATAATTAATTGTAAGAGGATAATATATAATGCCCGTAAAAATAATGAAATCGACGAATTTGTAATGCAAGTAAATTATAGCATTCTACATGAAAAATATAAAAGATTTAAGTTCGATTTTTGCCTGAGACCATATCATTTCATATCATTAGATAGTAAATGTCAAATTAATTTTCATAATTTGGGACGAGAAGAGATTAATATAATTTGAAGTAAAATCAGAATATACAAGATAGGAGATGAGGGAGGCACGTTTGATGTAAAGAAGTAGTTATTTATTGGTGTTCTACATACGTTAGAAAAAAGTTCCCGGGAACATATGTTTATTAGCGGACAAAATATTCTATAAATATTCTTATAAAATATAAGATATATTAACCCTCTATTGCTCTCGTTTGGCTGACGAACGTTAGTGCTCTTGTATGAGCGAAAAATACCGCGTCTGTTATTAATAGAATTTAAGTGAAAATTTAATTATTGTTGTATTAATATGGCTTCATAAAAATGAGATGCATTGATTTATTATTGATCCATCAAAGTAAAGCTTAAATTTGATAACAGCACGAGTCGCATTAATCTCACATATTTACTCTCGCTATGAATGCACGGTAACACTTGCCAGAGTTTATTAATAACAGTTATACTAATGAAATTAAGAAAACGACCAATTAAGAAAGCAATCAATCAAATATAATACAAATATAATACAAATATAATCTAAAAAGTTGTAAACAAAAAGCCAGAAAGTTTCAAAGCCAATTTTGTGAAGCTCCTTTTATATAATTAAAAAATAAAATTTCCACAAGCGAGCTCGCCTCATACGAAAGCAATGGAAGATTGATATATTAGCAAAAGTTACATTAATGAAATTTAGAAAACTATCATACAAATATGATGTAAAAGATTGTAAATGAAAAATATATAATTAGAAAATCTTATAATTGGAAAATAATTCGAAATTCTTATATATTCTTATAATTAGAAAATCAAATTTTAATTGAGCGTTCGCCTCATATGAAGGCAATGGAGGGTTATTAATTTCAGAATCTGATTCGAATCAGATATTTTATGAATACCCAAGTAGGAATCATATATGTTTCTAGTATGAAAAAATGGCCCGATACTAGGTCGATACCGAAAAGCGGATGTCTGGTTTTGGTACTGGCTCAATACTGGGCCTAATATAAAAAAAGCCGTATTATTGGTACTGGCTCCGTACTAAATTTAAGTACTGGATAATCGTACCGTATGTGTACTGGGCCGTTACCGAAATGTGTTTGTCGTTTACTGGTCCAGTATTAAAAAAGCTATATTATTGGTACTGGCTCTGTTCGTAGAATCAGTACTAGATCCCCAAATAAGAATCGTATACAATCTGCCAATAGAGGATATTGGGCCAGTATTATACCGGTACCGAAAAACGAACGATACCAATATTCTTTATGGGAAAACGAAGAGGTCAACGCAAAATCTAGATAACTCAGTGGAAGAATGCTTGCCTGACAAGCGGAAGACTCGAGTTTGATTCCAACCGTCTCTCGTCCCGAAGATTTTTTCCTCATATGACTATTAAAAATAGACATGTACAGGTACAAACGAAAGCAGCCTGGCCATAGTCTGATCTTTCTTTCCGTACTATATAATTGTGATATTAACAATTGTACAAATAATAAAAATTACTAGGAATCGATACTGGCCCAATATATTGGGAATAGGTATTTCCTAAAGCTAGGAAATATCAGATCAATCATATCTAGATCAATATTTTTTTTATACTGGTACATTATATTGATTTTCGGTATTGTGACAATACTGTTTTTCGATACTGGCTCTTTTATATCATTCCAGTATCACACCAATACTAAATTCGTACTAGCATCTGGTACTAGGCCAGTAACATTTACCATAAATCGGTACTTGGCCATTTGATGCCAGTAGTAAATTCTTACTTGGATATACGTAAAATATTTCGGCAGATATTCGCATATTTACAAAAAAAAGAACGTTCATAGAATATTCGTAAAGCTTATTTACTATGCATGTGCGATGCTTTAATGTAACTGAAAAGTTTTCCAAATGCTCCAAATAGTAATATGCATTTACTACAATTTAATAATGATATGTATCTACGAAATGAAATTCTCAAATGTATTTGGGAAAGCAAAATCAATGTGTGAGAGGTTAACCTACATTTTGCAAATATCCTTGTACATATTCATAGAACGTGTTTATAAGTTATGTTATTCGAATGTGCTATGAACGTACTATGAACATATATTTAGTATATTCGTAGAATGTATAAATATTCTCGTAAAGATTATTTACAGAAGATTTATAAAACATTCCTATGCTATCTTGGCAATTAATTATTTAAAACTATTATTCTGCAATAGAACTCTCATTAGCTATAAATTCTTTCTCATTGAAAAACTTAGGAGATTGAACTGAAGTATTCATCATTGATCCTATATTTCTTTTATTAATAATCACGAAATATATTGCGTTCAAAATATCTACCCCATTATTATCCATGACTTTTCGTCACTTAGACAATTTTCCAATTCCACTTTTGTAAAGTGGCCCATCTTGTAAACCAATAAGATCATTGGCGATTTGACGAGCTTCAGTAAGCCTCTGATATATTGTACTACGTGCACGACTATTCGCTTCCGTTTGGTAAATCCCCGACGAAGACACTTGGTCTTCGATCGAAAGCCCAGCTTCGAACTCCCGCATTGAAGACTTGTATATCCACTTGTGCAATCCGCTGCTCGACTGGCGGTTCAAAGGTCTCCGCTTTCTATGATTGCCCAGGTATGTGGACAGGTACGTGCCGCCCGCGGCGCATACACCGACAGATCGATATGTACCCGCGAGCGACCCAGGCGATCCGTATATGCGTCGCGACCTCGGCTTTCACCATCATTACCGGCTACCGCCGCCCGCCGGTTACCCGTACCAGACGCACTTCCGTTTTCGCGGGTTCGCGTACGCTACGTCCGGCCGGCTTGGCGGCAGTCCCGGCTCCAGTAGCTCCAGCAGCACGACATCCAATCAGCGGGAGACTTTTGCCACATCGCCGTTGCTGAGGCCCAAGGTGCGCGCGTCCACGGTCGAGTTCGGTACCGCCGCCGGTCCCGTTGGCGGCGTCGCGACTACCACGGCGACCACCGGTGTTGGTGTCGCCGTCGGTCGTCACGTGTGCGCGAACCCGGTCGCCTGTTGCGGAGACACATCCGCGAACGGAAGAGCCTGCTGCCAGATGAGGAGGTCCCTGCCGCCTGGAACGCTTCCGACAATACCCGCTCAGACTTCGTCATGGTGAGTACTTGTTGAAATGTTTTATACTTGAGAAAGTGAACGAGTGAGTGAGAAAGGGGGAGGGGGAGAGAAGAGAGAATTTTAATATGTATGAGTTTTATATACGCTTACAAAATAGTTTATTAAACTATATATTTTTATTCTATGTACAAAACTCGAATAATTGTTACTTGTGCAGAGTGTTTGATGCAACACACAAATCTACTAGTATGCAGGTATAACTTCTCAAACTGAACAAAAAAAATCCTGTACCATTTTGTGAACAATCACAAATTTTTTTGAATTTTTGAGATATTAAAATACTAGGGCAAATGTATGTCTATGATGTAAAGAGTTCTTTAGACTCCTAAAAGGAGTCTCATTTAATTTGTCTAAATCAATTGACAATTTTTTGGCAATGATGGATGGCGCGCTAAAAAAAGTATAGATAAATAAATATATAAATTTAAATGTATAAATATAAATAAATAAATAAATAAATAAATAAATATCAATATAAATATATGATTATAAATATTTATATAAATATAAATAAGTAAATAAATAAATAGAGATGTTGTTATTTTATATTAAGGTGATTTATCCCAATTATGGCGCTGTTGACCAATTAGAAAATTGGTCAGTCAGCGAGCTTCCTATAGGACAATCTGACGAAACATGTCGTGATGAGGAAACAAGTTCTGTCTTCTCGGCTCTACAGAGCCGTTATTATCTCAGTATATCACGTGAATAAATTGATCTATTTTTTTTTCTTTAATATCTCAATAATTATCGTGATAATTTACAAAATTTGGCAGAAGATTTTTCTACACAGCTTAATAACTTTTATCTATACATGAGCGGTCGAACATTCTAAATCCAGACACTTTGTATTGTCATTACCATATATTTTTTTCTAAGTATGCATTAAATCGTAACAAACGTGAGAGATAGAGGGAGGAGGGAGATAGATAGAGTTTTGGTTGAATTTATAATAATTTATAATTATTAACACGTTGGCTGCTACAGAGTGACATTATGGAACTTTGTCTCTGGTACCATTTCAAAACCAGCATGTTATTATAACATGCTAATTAATTATATTTATTATTATTCAGCAAAATATATATTTACTAAAACATGAAAATCTACACAGAGAGAAAAAATATTTAAAAAATAGTAAATATTTTTTTGGTGGATATAAAACATATTTACACACTTAGATATAAATTCTTTTATTTAAATAGAGTAAATAATTACTTTCTCATGAAAAGCTAAGATTTTCTTAAGGTTTTAAGAAAATGCCCATTTTCTTATTTGAAAAATACCTTACATTAGTACAAGTAAATATGTTACTTGTACACATCGCGAATATAGATGTTTACTCTTCTTCTTAAATATTTTTTCTTTCAGTATATACGAATTAACTTGTAGTTGGTACATGGAATAGAGAATTTTTTCTTTATACGTTAGCTATGAGATAATTAATATTTTGCAGGTAATGTGTAAATTAATATTTATAATATTATTCATATTTATATAACTATAACTTATTATTATAACTATAACTTTTTTTTATAACAAGAAATTTAAAGTTCTTCACTTTTATTGCGTAGTATTGTTAGAAGAAAACTTCGACAAGCTTGAATGACAAGTAAAATGTAAATTTTCCTCTTATCCTTTCGACCAGACATCTAATATGCTTATTAATCTTAAAGTAGGGGAATAGCTTAGCTTCCGATTAGTAGCGAATTTTGTTGTAAATTGCGCGCATAACTGTGTGCATAATTGCGCGGTTCGAAGAAAAAATCGATTACGACGAGATTAGGAACAGGCAAAAGCTATCGTGTGTGTTAAAAGCTTGCTTGTGTAATCCGTGGATTATATGTGGCAGAGTAGCTTTCGCAATGCACATGTTCACATAATAATGCGTCTGTATAATAAAGCTTACGAATTAGAATGGAAGAGCCCATTAATTGAGGGATAAATATTATTTATGGGGTCGATGCACAAGAGCTTTTGGTTCAACACGATAGCCTCCTCACCTCTTTCGTTGTTTTACCGAATTTGAACAAATCTGTCTTCAATTCTGTCTTCAATTATTGCACATGCACACATATGCAATGCGCGAAAAATGGTCCTTTACTTGACTCTATTAAAATAATATCAAGTTGAAATTTTAATTTTAATTTTAATTCTATATTAACTTCTGCACTATAATCTGCATAATATTTCGAATTTAAAGAATTCTATGGAAAATTTTGAAGTATATAACATTATATAGGCTATTGTTTTCTGATATTATAAATATCAAAAGTTATTCATCCTTATTTTGTTGTGAGGCATCAAGAGAAATATTTATTTAATAATTATTTATTATTTGATTTGTGCGTGTATGCGTGTATGCGTGCGTGTACATGGATGAATGCATGGGTGATTGGTTAGATGTTTATAATAAGTTAAAGAACAGATAAGAACTGAGGACCCCCGTTACATCACACCCACCTACCCATATATGCACGCATGCACACAATACACACACACACACATACACGGAAGAGGTGTAAATCCGACTGAACAACCTACGCGTGGTACACTTTGGGTAATACTAATGCTGGGGACACTGTAGCTTTCAAGTTTCATTATTCAAAAAGTACTTAAAAAGTAAAAGTATTATGAAATACTTAATGAAAAAATACATTATTGTAGTGTTTTAGCTCTTGAAATAAGTTACAAGAATATGAAATAAAAAGTAGAATGTTCCATTTAAAAAATTCATTTGACTTTGGCGTGACCTTAATGTTTTCATCCAAGATTAGACAAATAATAGCCTTTTATGGCTCCCTCAAAACTCTTAAACATTTTTTCGTAGAACGTATATTTTTAAAAATATTGAGGTGGAAAGTTTTAAAATGAATACCCTATATATATATATATATATATATATATATATATATATATATATATATATATATATACACACACATATATGTATATATATGTATGTGTGTGTATAACTGTCGCATTTAATTATGGCTGAGTTGCTGGTTCTTTTTAAAGTCACTAGAATTAGAATTATATATAAATACTATATTAATAATATATAAAAAAAAAGAATACAATGCGCGTAAAGCAGAATACCTTAACCGGAAGTGAAAGCCATTATTGGAATTCTCTGTACTCGAGTAAAAAGTAACTAGCCTACAAATACTAAATCAAATGAAAATCCACTATCAAATCAAAAGCTGATATTTAGCACAGGTTAGATTAAATGATTGTCAATAAGGTCATTTTTTGGCTCACGTCAGAATCACTTCAAACTGTGTTATTTTATTCCTCTCGATAAAACTCACAATTCACTAGAATCGTTTGCTGTTCAAATAATTAGGTGCTGAGAATGAGACACTCTTAGATCTCAGATTTACATGGAATATTACGCATAGTTGCAATGTCTGCCTCATTTTACTCTGTTATCAATGAGTTCTCATCACCATCCTTTCTCAAAAACTACTCGTATATATAGTACATGAAATATGTCAAAGCGGTTATTTTACTTCTCTGCCATCATATTGAAATCGAGCTCCGTATTAATCAGTATATTTTATTTTCACCAAGTATGCAAGCAATAATGTTGCTTATAAGAAATTTAACGATGAAATTGTGGTTTAAAGTTGATTCAAAGAATTCAGGATATTTAGGAGATATGATAAATACTGCTGAAAGAGAGAGAAGCTATTTCTTACCTCCTGTGCGCTTGTAAAACTTTATATAGCTATAGAGCTATTATAGTTGATAATGGCATATGGCATATAGCTGATGGTGGCATGTACCAACTTTTTATCCACAGGCAAAAGAGAAACAGCGTTCGCCTTCAACTACAACACAGCGTCACACCTCATCAAAGGTATAATCTGTGGATAGAATATAGCGAAGACATCAATCCAATTACACCATGGTACTGCCAGTGCAAAGTAGGCGCTAGAACGGTTGATTGTTGTGCGAATGTAGCATCAGTCCTATGGTATTTGAGATACATGAGACATTCTGAACAGTTAAAGCAAAGACTATGCTAGTAGTACGCACAATATGTTGCAAATGCTGAAAACATTTCAGATTAGACCAGGGGAAGACGAAACTCTATCTGATTAGATTAAATAAAACTGATAGATTTAAAAACCCGTCGGTTTCTTAAGTTTTATAAGCGCACAAGAGGTAAGATAGCCTCTCTCTCTCTCTCTCTCTCTCTCTCTCTCTCTCT